CTTAAAGACAATTCTGTAATAATAAATAAATAAATAAATATATATATATATATATATATATATATAATCTTGCAGTGTAATTCCTGTTTTTCAAATATACACGTATTTGTTTTAATGAATTTAATAATTCGCAAAGAGTAATAAGCAAATTTTCCGAATCCATACTTGGTCTGCTTTTTGGCGCAGGATTAGAATATATGCATGTATGCATTATTTCGATCCGCATGAATTTATAATTTCTACTGTGTTCCCATGCTGCGAAAATGCGAAAGCGTAATCTGTACGAATCAATAATATACATTATTCTGATAGATACAATAGAAGAATCTATAGGAAAGGATCTTGTAATTGGCAGGCGTCAATTACGCTTCCGCGAGTTTCGTTCCACGTGACAATAGAAAATATATTTCAGAGAAATACAATTAACAGAATGTTTGTGATTAGATGGACTTCGTTTCGTCAATTGCACATCGTTTTTCTTATCGAATCAGTTCACGGTGGATTGAATTGTGCGTATATATTTTGAAATGCATAATTACTTATCTTGTACATGATTAGCACTAGCTTTTTTTGTCTTTTCTTTATATTACTTTAAAGCCTCGTAAGTATGAAAGAAAGTCGAATAAAAATAATTGGACTAAAACTCAGTTACAACTAGCGATATGATCAATAACGCATGGTCCTACACTCAAAATCAGAGAAGCTAGCCGTAAATACAATCCCCGAGTCTATGCTCCGAAAGAGGATGAAAACGAAAAGAATTCGACCGAACATATACCATTGGGATGCAAATCCACTTTTACGGCTGAAGAAGAAACAGAATTGGCAGATCATATAATTAATCTCGCGAAGCGAAAAATTTTGAAATCACGTCTCGCGAGTTTCACAGAGTTGCTTATGAATTTGCAGAAGCAAATAAAATTAGCTATATCTTCATACAATACAATATCGAAATTAACTGGGAAAGATTAGCTTTATCTCAAACGACACCACGCATTTCATTAAGACGACCAGAGGACAGTCTTAATAGAATTATCGCGTTCAACAAAGACTTTGTTAATCAGTTTTTTTTAATTATTTGAGTAAAGTCTTGGAAACATTTAGGTTTAAACCGTATCAAATTTATAATATGAACGAAATTCAGTATCAGTACAAAAGTACGGTACAAAAGAAGTGTCCAAAAGTTTTCGCACAGAAGGGTGTAAAAAAGTCAGAGCAGCGACTTCAGAAGAAAGAGGATGAACAAATTACTGCAGTTTTTTGTATTAGTGCTGCGGGAATATATATTCCACCCATGTTAATTTACCCAAGAGTTCGCATAACTCTCTAGCTTCAAAAAAACGGACTCATAGGAGCAATTTATGACTGTTCAAAAAATGGGTGGACCAATGAGAATTTCTATATGAATTGGTTGCAGCATTTTAAAATCTATGTGAAACCAATTCTTGATGACTCGGTGCTTCTTATATTGAATAATCACCCAAGCCACATTTCTGTTGCGGCTTTAAAATTTTGCAAAGCCAATTTCATCCATTGTTGTTACTCTTCCCCCTCTTTTCCCCATATCGTAGAACATAGCTTTTTGATCTGACTTTGTTTGGTCCGTTGAAAAATGCTCTTTATCGCTATGATTTGTTCTTGAATAAGAACACTTATGAGAAAATCACTGAATACAATTTTGCAGAGTTACTAAATAAGACATTCATTAAAATAGCTACGATGGAAAAAGGAATTTCTAGTTTTTCTTCAGCAGGAATTTGGCCTCTCAATCCGGACAAATTTAACAAAGACGATTTTATTTCGGACAATGCTGCTCCTTCCAAAGAATTTGTTACTAAAGCAGTTCTTGAATCTTTGATGAATGTAGATAAAAATATTGACTCTGATCATGAAACTGCAGCATCTCCTGCTCCTAACGGCTCCATATCAGGTCCTTTCGATGCAACTCTGTGCACTTTTACTTCGAAAGTTACAGTTCCAGACATCGCACCAGTTTCCTCAAGAAAATCGAAGATGTCAACAAAAATGCGATATTTTTGACAAATGCAGTCTGAAATTTTCACTACCAAGCCGCAAAAAAGAAAATTGGAACAGACAAAAGATAAGGAAAAAAACACTGTGGAGAAAAAGATTAAAAGATGAAAGAAAAAAGCAGAAACTTGCGAAGCTAGGCTAAAACTAAGAAAAAGATCGAAAAAAAGAGGAATATTAAATTCTTGGAAAGCGAAAAATCGAGTTCTGCCATCAATGGACAATTTGAAGTTTCTCCTCAATGAAAAGTACACTATTTGCAGAGAATTCGAAAAAAAACAAGGAACTCTTTTAATGCTGGCTGTGTTCTGAATGGTTCCATGAAAATGCAATGAAACTGACGCTGAGAATTATATATGCGATTTTTGTTATGTAAATAAATAACTAATTTTTTCAATTTTTGTAGCATTTGTCCAAATTATGTATTAATTTTGTAGTAACATTGACTTAATAAATGTATTTTTTTATTTTACATTCTATGAAATATTCACTTTAATCATTTCTTACGATTTTTGTTTTACGCACAATTATCGCCCATGTACACAATTATTCGACGCGTAAGAAATTTTTTCGCTTTTGCTTTTTTCTTTTTGCCAAATACATTACCAAATGAAAAATTGTTTAATATAAGAATATATTTATTATTTAGAATATATTAAGAATATATTGTAATAGACGAATGTTTATGATTTTATTCTCTTATATCGATTTCAACTCCAAAAACCAGCAATAAATTTCCCTTAAGTGCGCACAGTTTTCTCACTTTCCTCTATATTTTTTAAAGAGAAAATTAAAAATCAAAGGAAATAAATAAATGTAGCATCGCGTGATTACAAGTAACACAAATATTTTAATATTAATATACTTATTACTATGAACATTGTTCTCCCTTTATCAAAAATAATAAAATTTTGAAAAAATTAATATGGTAGTATCTCTAAAAAGATCTAACTTAAGGCTCGACTTTCTCACTGCAGCCATATTGAATTATGACGTCAGAAGTAAGAGATGACATACAAAAGTGCACCGTATAGTTTTATTTTGTACTTTTTCCTTAAAAATATAATATTTTTATATTCTTAAAGCTTGTAAAAGTAAGATGTCTGTCCAATAAATCGTAAAAGTGTAAAATAATTTTTGAAATAATGACGTACTGTTCAGCTATTAGAAATCATCAGATCACTAGATTTAATTGTTTCTGATAGCTAAGCAGTGACCATTATTTCAAGAATTATTTTACACTTTTGTGTAATCTATTAAATAGATATTATGATTGGGTGTTAATCCGCTCGTCGTCCCCAAAAATCGATTTTAGAAGAGAAAATCATCCCCTATCGACGTGATACAGAAAATTTCGGTGGTCTTGATGATATGTTGTTATTTAGTATACTTCGGTTTTAACAGAACTGCAAAGCAGCCACGATTATTTTCATTTTCCTGTTTTTTTTTTGAAGTTAATAAAATTCTCTTGCTTTGATAAAACGGTCCTGTTTATTTCGCGAGTGCGATATTGTGCGAGTACCTACAGCGACAATATTTTACTTTCTGGTATTTTTTATAAATTTTAAGAATATGAAAATATCATGTTTTTAAGGGAAAAGTACAAAATAAAATTATATGGCGTAAAAAACTTTTTGCATTTTTCGCTTCTGACGTCATAATTCAATATGGCGTACGCTGCAGCGAAAAAGCCGAATCTTAAGTTAAATCAATTTTTTCAGAGATACCGCTTTTTTTTTTTTTTTAAATTTTATTATCACTGATAAAGAAAGAACGATGTTCACAATACCATATAACACATAACCCCGCGAGAAAATCGAGTCTTAACTTTTTCATGAAATATTTTCCTTGCCATTTATCGATTATTCATAAAATTCGCAGATACGAAGGATGCAAGATATCTTAGCACAGATGCAAGAGAAACTCAAAGCGACCGGCCAGGTCGGCGGCGGCGTCGGATTGAGAGGTCGCGTGGGTAGCCTCGGCAACGACCTGGATTCCGCGGATGTGGAAAAGAAGCGTAACAGTATTATAGATGTTTGAAGTATAGATCATCGGGATATGTGTCCAAGTTACTGAGTTTAACTCCCGAGAGATCTGTACATATTTCGTTCGACCTTTAACAAGTTTCATACGACGTCTCATTACACTCTCAGATTCGATTCGCACCAACGTTATTTTAGCTTTAAGCGACACTTGAATGTGTCTGTCTTTATTTATTAAAAAAAAAAAGATAAAGGCAGATACATGTTTGAGTCCCACTTAAAGCCAAAATAAATTGATGCAACCGGGCCTTAATCTTGTATCGCATAATACTTCTAAATTAATTTCTTTTTTATTAAAAAAATGCGAATTTAAAGATGATACCAGATTAGGGTGTAGAATTCTCAAGATCATAGGTTTGATAGAAACTCATCACGTTCGAAATTGGAATATTCTATATTAAGTATACTCTATTTGCCTATTTTATAATAAGCGCAATAAAAATTTACTAATTAAAATTAATTGAAACAAAATAAATTTGTCTCTACAATAGAATTAGATGCTTATTGAGATTATTATGTATTTTTTTTTCTCGAGCATTATGCTATCTCTTTTCACTGTTGAAAGAGATAGAGATAAAGTAAGCTAGATAAAGTAATGCCAAAGATTGCTTGCCCGCTAAATATTTGATCAAATTCAAGCTTGTACAGATCTGTCGACAACATACACCTCATACATCTCAGTGATACGTGAGATCAGAATGTATTTTATACTTAAGATACATATACACATACTAATTTATACAAATAGCAAACACACACATTATCAAAAATTATCGAAAGATGTACACATATGTACACATTGAATGTTCGTTGCAAAACGAACCTATAATTGATTGTACAAGCACCAAATCGGTGGGGAAATCTCTCATTCCGTTTATAACAATGCTAATATAAAATCTATAATCCCGAGTGTATGCCAAAGAAAGAATTATGAAAGGTATTATAGTTAGACTTATATAGTTAGACTTACTTAACGTTCTAAATATACGCACAATACATAATATATAATTATATAAAATATACATAATTATATAAAAAGAGTGAGAAATCAATTGTCACAAACCAAAGATTCGCATTCGCATGGTCATAGTTTGTACTTTAAGTTCTTTTGCATTATGAGAAGAAAATATGTAGATGTTTTATAACAATAAAATAATATGCCGTATAAAAAATACGGTCATGTCAAACCTCAACAAATGTTTCAAATTTTATTACTATTTTTGTCCAATTCCTTAAATTATTTGAAAAAAAATCGATTTAAGCGAAAGGGAGAAAAAGGAATTTTTTTTCGTAATTTTTATTCAGTAAGATAAGTAATAAAATATTAAAATTCAATGTTTAACTTTAATCGACGGTTAGAAAAAAAAGAGAAATTAAAAATTAACGAAAAATTCAAAAATATACATGCACATTGACATTTTAAATATTTTTATTACTTTAAAATCTTTTAATTTTTAAACATTTTTAATTTAACTTAAAATTTATCCTTGCTATTTTCATAGAATTTTCATAGAATATTTTCGTAGTATCTCTTTGCATTATTTTAGAAAATAAATTATTTTAGAGAATATTTACTTAATGTACGCGGAAGAATTTATAGAAGGGACTGAGAGAGTTCCACGAAATTTATGTTTCCTGCCGATTCTTAGAAATTATCTCGAATCCAGTCGCAGTCATCACTTCGCGACATGTTTTTATTAACATAATTCGAAAAGATGCAAAATTGTCGACATTCCGCGATAGAATTATCCACATACTTCGCTATCGGATTATTTTGAAAAATATAATCGTATAATAAATGATAAATAATCAAGTGATCCTTAATATTCGTAGAAAGCAAGATTGAACGCATTGGATTTAACAGAAGTTAAAATTAGTAACATATATAGAAAAATTTTAGCAGTGAGCAAATTAACCAAAGATATCTATAGATATCTATAGCCAAGAGTTTTAAAATGATAATTTTACACTTTTGACTTGAATAATCGACTTTATGTTTTTCTATATGTCATATCTTTAAAAAAAAGAAATCGGTGCGTAATAGTAAATAAAATTAGTTTGATACTCACAGTTCGAAACCCGGTCTACATCGCGATATTGGCACGATATTCTTGCTTGGCACCCTCTGAATTTCCAATTATGTTCGACTGCAATGTTATACATATATGTATATATACAGGCATTCGTTCCATTTGGATAATCACCTTTGGCATCGTCCGACTCGATGGAAAGTTTAATAAATTTTAAAATAATAAAACGCAATATCGCGAGAAATATCATATCTGCGCGCGTGATTTTGCGAAAATTAAGACGCACATGTACGTACGCAATTAAGCCCTGCGCATGATAAAGGAACAGGACTAAATATTAAGTTTTGAAAATAAAAATTAAGTCTAAGTCAAAATGAACATAAATAAAGGTAAGACATAGCTATATATTACATTTATTGTGCGTTACGTTTAATCTTTACTCCTAATTTTTATTTCCAAAATTTAATATTTATTTCTATTCTTCCATTGTAAATTTAGCATCTTAGCGTTCAACTTCAAAGAGACAATTCTGCGATAATCGCGGAATGATTACGAAAAATGGCGGATGTGTCGCGCCGGCAAAAAATGCGGAAGATGTTGGCGTTACACTATCACACATGTTTGTCTCCATTTCAATTATCGCCTCCGACGACGTTTTACTTAAGAGGATCACAATTCACGAAGAGCGTTCGCGCTCATATGTGCCAAAATTTTCACAAGAATGAAGAGATGCACATATCAAAGTTCAAAAAAGAAATGGCGCGGCGATCGCGGTATGCGGCGGGAAAAATTTGAACGCGATCCGCACATATTCTTAACGTATTTAATTTAACTTGATTGAAATTTATTACCCGCATCGCCACGCCGTTTTGTTCACTTCCGTCGCCGATTATCTCTGATAACGCACTCACGCACGTGACTCGACAGAATCACCAACGAAACTACGCGACGCTACGAGAAGAAGCGACCATCCACACGCGAAAGCAGTACTGAACTGAACTGAGCGCCGAGGTCAGACGCGCGGAGCGCGGCTCACTTCACGGCGCACAAGTCGCGCTCTCTGTACTTTGCATACAACATTTTTAATGTATTATGTCGTTATAACCCATTGAAATATTTTAATAGTTTTAAATGCTCGATGCATAGTGACTGTTTTTATAGTAAGTACGAAAAAAATAGTTTCGCTAACATATAAAAACATATAAATTTTAATCGAATATAAATTTAAAAATAATATTGTTAAACCATTAAAATATAATAATTATATAGGATGTTCAAATTGGTTACTAGAATATGAAAAGTTTTTGGAATATTATCATGATATCTTAACAATTTTCTAACGAAATTATTTTCAGATCTGTACTTGGCTAAATTTTTAAGTATTTTAATAAAATTGTTTTTATCGTAAATATAATAATTCTTCAGTAGTTGCCCGACTGAATCCAACATCAAATATAATAAACTAAAAAAGCTTAATAAATATAAATTGTACGTAAATAAACGTTTTCTTTATGTATGCATATACGTACATTTGTAAATACACAAATATGTATAAATATAGAATTTTTATTTATCGAAAACTAAGATCGATTTTATTTATCAAAATATGAAATAAATATCTTTTTAATTAAAGAAAAATACATATTATTCATTCTAAATAATTTCATTAAATATTTATACGTTATTTGCCTTTTCTTAACGCCAGGCTGTCGCAATTTCAATCGAAATATCAATTACGATGCCTTGCAACATTTCATTTAAATCTTGCGACGTGTCTACTATGGGAACGGACAATGTCGCAATCGAAAGGAGAACTATTAATCTAACTTATTGTTGTCTCGCTCTCTTGAGTAAGGCTTTCATGCAAATTATACGGTAGCCTCGATCTAACGAATCGCTCATGGAATATCATTACAAATGCGATCTTTACATCAAATTACCCAATACAAACAAATTACTCAATAATAGACAAATTAAAATTATAAATATAGTAAATAGATCATGTAATTAGAATTTTATAACATAATAGCTTCAAGTTTTTCAATCAAGTCATGATAATCCGAAATATGAATCTCCCGAAATGTGAAACACGACACACCCGAGTTAATCTTTTGGTAGTTACAAATCGTTCTAGAATGATAATTGAAAGGAAAAGACGTAATTTCGCATCTTGACAATAACGTTGCATAGAATCAGGAACCGTTGCGTCTGCGAATCAAACAAACGATTAGAGCTATCGCAGGAACTTGCGGTTTTATTATTAACTATAATTACAGTTATGCGATCGCATTAAAACTCTCCGAATAACGAATATTGCGTACTCTCATCTCCATCCCTGTCGAGATCAAATTGGTCGCTATAAAACCGGAGTTGTCAGAATCAACTGTTTCAGTTTCACGAACGCTCGTACAATTTTACAAATTTCTAATGATCCGAAAGGTTAGTATCAAGTAGAATTTGTTAAGATTTCGCGAAAAAAATCTGTTTAAACGAACAAATGTAAAGTTGCGTCATTAAATTCTACGCTGTAGCAAGAAAAAGATAATTTTCTCGTTCCTTGAATGTAACATTAACAACAGCTAAATTACAGTATTTCACATCGAACAATGCGTAAGACATAATAGTCATCTTCTTGTTATTTTTTTCGTCATATCACATATGTGTGCAAGTTTCCGCGCTCTTCTTTCGAACAGGCGGCACTATTAGCGATGGTCTTGGTAGGAGTTCGAAGCGAACCGCAAGGCCCGGCCTATCTTCCGCCCAGTCCTCGGCCAGGAGGAGGCGGGACCGGTCATCCTGACGAATGGGCCGGTGTAAGTATGTATTACGTATCTGCGAAAAGAAAAAGAAATGATTTGAGAATTTGAAAGTTGGACTGGAGCTGCATTCCGCCTGACGCTTGCGACGCTTGCAATCATCTTTCTTTTTCTTTAATATTTTGTGAATAACAAAGAAATTATTTTGAGAGCATTCAATGGAACACAGCCATATTACAATATTGTTGCAATATTGCTGCAATACAATTGCAAAGTTCGTGCTGCATTATTATTCCATTTTTAGCACTATTTTTAAATCTTTTATTATGAAAATTTTCCAATACAAATTTATTTTGATACAAGTACTCGCATATGTTCACTCGTAAGTGTAAATATCGCTTTAGGATCCAGCGAACTATGAGTTTTCGTACGAGGTCCAGGACGCGGCGGCCGGTCTGGACTTTGGCCACCACGAGATAAGGAAGGACATGGAGGCCACTGGCGCTTACCACGTGCTACTGCCAGACGGTAGAACTCAGATCGTCGATTATATCGCTGATCAGAACGGATATCGGCCAATGGTGCGATATGAGGGTACGGCCACTTATCCCGCACCAGGACCAGCGGGACCCGGGCAAGAAGAGGGCTACAGATATTAGAGTCCTAGCTCCTTACTGAGAGTGATTAAGTATCGATCTTTAGCGTTTTAAAAAAGATCAGTTAAGTATCGTTAGAGATGCTCTTAAAATACACAAGAAACATGATCTAGTAAATCATGAATAGACTTGTCAAATAGACAGTCGAATAATCATTAATGAATTTGTCGAATAATAGGACGAAAAATATCCTGCGGACGATCTCGAGTAAAATAAGGGAATAATTTTTGCTTCGAAAAGATCAAAAAGTGTTCCAGCGAAACGTTCGCTATGATCGTGATAGTGACGAGTTTATCTGTAATGTATAATAAATAATTTGAAGAAAGAAGTAGTTTTGTTTATTTCCTTTTAAATCTTTAATAAAGACATGGTTAACATTCTAAAATAAAAAATACATGTATGAACATGTAAAATGTTACATATAAATATGTTTATTTTTAATTATATAAATCTAAATAAATATATTCACATGGAGAAGCAAGCGAATTACATTCATTTCCACTGTAATGTAAATTAATTTTAATCTCGGTTTAATTTACTTTTCATCTTTAATTCTAAAATAATTAATTTTAAAATTTTTAAATTTTTTATCTTTAATTCTAAAAATTCTAAAAATTAGAATAAGATAAAATTAAGCGGAGATTAATGTTAAATTGATGAAAATGAACATTGGACATTCAACATCTCCATCAACATCGTGCGGTGACTTCGACCAAAAATAATAGTGAGTGAGCCATCTCGCTATTATCCCGAGTCTATGGCTGAAGTTTCCAGAATGCCCGAGAATGTTCCGTGGGTCGCACGCCACAGATTCGTTTCACGCCGATCTCGGGATTCCGTGACGATTCCGAGAGCGAATTAGGCGAAACAGTATTATTAATCGAGATTGCTGACTTTGACAGCGGATTTCGCCGTCGTTCCACGATAGGTCGTTTCACGAGGTGTCGTCTCGAGACATAAACGGAACGTTTTTACGAGTGAACCGTCGTCGAAACGCGGCCCGACGTCAAACTCAGAACGCTCACCTAACCGCAATTCGTAGCACGACTCGCGTAAGTAACGCGTGCATGCCAAAAAATTCCGATGACTTTTACTTATTAAAGGACACGTTTGTCGTCTCGATTTGTTGTCAATTAAATCGTGGATTATGTTATGCGTACGAGTTCCAAGTGCTGTAAAACAGAATTTTCTAGAAGGTTATCGCACACACTCTTGTTACTTATGTCGGCCGTCAATCTGAAATTTGCCTCGAATTTCAGTACACCTGGCTGAACCTGAACGTTATTATATCTCTGATTATTAGCTGGAAGTATGGCAAAATGGGGCGAGGGCGATCCACGCTGGATTGTGGAAGAGAGACCCGACGCTACTAATGTTAACAATTGGCATTGGTATGTTGATAGAGATTATCCTAATACCAGAAGTACCAAACGATCGTTTTTGATCACTTCTGTTTTTTTTAAATCAATATTTCCTTGTATTAAAAATATGGAATTTTCTAATTCTTCATAATTTATTCTCATTATTCCAAACATTAAAGTCAGAAAATTTGAATCCTAACTTTGATGCTAAAAAGAATTATTAATTTAAAGAAAGGGTTAAACAACCGTCTGGTACTTTTAATATTATGTCAACAATATAGTTTTATAAAACATAGCAGCATTTGATTGTTAAATGTTGATACATCTTTGTACATGATTTAATGAAACAAAATTATGCTGTAGGACGGAGAAAAATGCTTGTGCATGGTCGCAAGAAAAGTTGAAAGAATTATTTGTAAATTTGAAAATTGAGGGAGATGGAGGTTAGTAACTAGTATTTGTTTATGAGATAAAGGAAAATATTTATATAGTTTTGCTACAGAATGATTTTATTTTTTAAAATTATACTATTTTAAAATTATTTTGTATTTTTTAATATTATTTGATTTTGTAGTGGTATGTAAAGTAACAGAAATGGAAAAATGTGAGGGGGAAGCGGTAGCAAATAATAGAAAAGGGAAACTTATTTTCTTTTATGAATGGAATATTGTTTTGAAATGGGTGTCGGATGAGAAGTCCAATAAAAACATCGAGGGTAAAATTAATATTCCTAATCTTTCTGAAGAAAATGATATTAATGAAGTAGATGTAAGTATTTTTGATTGAATTATTTAATTCATTATTGAATGAAATAATCACATCACTTGAAATCACATTTGAAATAATCACAAACTTTTATCTCTTTTACTTCAATTTTATTATTATTTTTTTTTATTTAATATATAATCCAATATTTAGTCTACCATTAAATTATTACGCAAAAATTTTAAAGACATTGCTACATTCTTTATGATTTGTAGATTGAAATTACATTAAAAGATAGTACTGATGAAGGGGAAAAAGTAAAACAATTCTTACATACTAAGGGTAAAGATGCAATAAGAGAAAAGTTAAAAAAATATGTATCTTGCTTAAAAGAAGGTAAGATCGACAATAATTTTTTAATTTGTAGTCTAAATTAGTGATTGTATCCAAAAATGATAGAAGTACAGTTTTTATCCATTATTTTTTCATTTACAGAATTTACGAAAGGAATGATACTTCCCAAGAAAGATAATGTAAAAGAAAATATTTCGAACATAACATCCGGTTTTAATGTTAAGGTAAATATAGTGTATTTATAATATAAAAAGATAAAACACAGTTCTAACAATGTTTATTTCTCTTTCAAGATGCAAATGAATGCTGCAGTAACACCTACGAACAATAATAAAACGGCAGGTAAAATCTCAACCACTACGATTAAACAAAGTGTGAAGTTTCAATGTAGAGCGGAAGAGTTTTATAACGTTCTCTGTTCTATTGAGGTAATAATCTTATCACACTATTATCTCGTTATAAATGAATAGATAGATGATTATAAATATGTATAGATTATATAATTCAGTTGCAATATAATCTTAATTTTTACAGATGGTACAAGCTTTCACGAAAAATCCAGTAAAACTAGAAGCAAAGAAAAATGGTCAATTCGAGCTTTTTGGTGGCAATATTCACGGAGAGTTCGTAGAAATTACGCCAACGAAAATTATTCAAAAGTGGCGTTGTAATCAATGGCCGTCCGGACATTTTAGTGATGTAACGATCGATATTTGTGAAAAGAACGATCATACTGAAGTTAATTTAACGCAGATTGGTGTCCCAGTGAGGTAAGTTTAAGAACAAGAACGTTTTCTGTCACAATCGATATTGTCGACAAATAAGATAATCACGCAAAAATGTGCTTTTTAGTGAAGAGGTCTCTACGAAAGAGAATTGGGATAGGTATTATTGGGATGCCATAAAACGAACCTTCGGTTTCGGATGTTTCATGTGATCTAAATTCACTCTAATGGATATTTATTTATTGCTAAGTAGAACAATCGTGAAGATTACGCATATGCGCACACAGTCGCGCGAGCGCTTGACTTCTGCAGGAGCATAGACGAAATCTACGGCGCGGTGAGAAGGAAGCGTATACAACAGAATGATTCTGTTCTCTCTCTTCGTATATTTGGTACCGCCTTGTGTAAGACTTCAAATTAATATCGCTGCGGACACACTGTGTGTCGCGCAACATTGCAAGTGACTTGTATGTCTCTATCTATTAGATGTGTCTGTCTAATAAATCATGAGATAAAAAGTGATGATTTGTAATCTGTTTTTTCCGTATGAGAATGACCGATGTATATGTATTAGGTTTGTGTACAATGCGATTTTAGATAAGTCACATAAATAAATATTATCTTGTAGTCAATTCAATTGTTAATTCCATACGAGATTCCTTATACAAATGTTTCTTGATAAGAAAAGAATTACGCAGTCAGTCTTCTCATAAAAAAAAACAGACATTCTTTCACACAGTAATAACATAATCATTCATCATCGGTTCAATATTTTGAATTATTAAAGATTTTAACAAACAGATGATTACGTTCGTAAGCAGATTGAAACGCCTTAAGATCCTAAAATGCATCTCCTATAGATATAAAATGTATTTAACTCTTCGTAATCCCTTTTCTCGCGCGGAGTCAGGACCAATGTCCTAGACGGGAGCGGCATGAATGGGCAGATCCAGAGAACACCAAATGCGCGCGCCTTCGAAAATCAAAATCAATGTAGTCCGACACCGTTCGCACCAGTCCCGTTCGCCCGCTCGTTCGCTCGTTCGCTCGCTCGCTCGCTCGCTCGCTTACTTGCTCGCTCGCAGA